TACCTTTTACTTCTGGGAAGTTCTCGGTGCTGTTGCCATCTCAACAGGATATTGTTTCATGTAACACGACTTGTCGGGGCCATTAATTGGGTTCGAATTAATTTTGGAAATTCCTACATCCTTTGTCTTGATTTATTAGCTGGGGATCCTGATTTATTGGCTGGGTATTTTGGACTACCAAATACGCCACTAAATGCTGTTGCCGAACCAACAGGTCCATCTCAGTAGTGTGGTTGCGCGGGATTTAAAAAGTTTAAGCATGCAATGGAATGGGTCATTAGTTGATGGGGATTGCATTTTAAATAAAACAATCTTTCATGACATATAAAGGGTGGTTACCTTCCGGCGTAATATACCGGAAGATTGATTTCACCTGATGTTGGGGTTGCTCCTACTATTGACTTTAGACCAGTGATTCCTTTTTCCCTGACGGGGTATGTATTTGGATTGTTCTCATGCTGCCTGTCATTCGGCAAAGGGGTTGCTATGGAAAGAGATTACATAGCTAGAGTACCGAATCTTTATTTAGTATGAAAATAGGATCCATATAATAAACCCGAAGCGTAAGAGATTGTATGTGAAACCTGGCTATCGAGCCGAATCGACACCAAAGCTAAACAACCTTGGCTCTTAAGTAAAGTTCCAAAAGGGTCCTATTTATTATAAGCTGCTGAAATCTGGCTATATCATCAAAGGGAACTTGTAATGAATGCAACTGATTGACAAAAGCACTGGCTGAAAAAAACCCAATAACTCAAAAACTCAAACGCTGGGACAGATGTTGCAATACCCGCTAAAGACATTTAAATAGAAGTGGTGGGGTAGTTTTCCCTCATCATCCTTAAAGTTCAGACCTTGTTACGTCCGACTACTATTCGTTTCGTTTAATGCGGAACACTGTCTCAGGGATACCATACACTTTATATCAAGATCATGTCAATGATTAGTATTTGTCCTCAAAAGATGAGCAGAATTTTGAGAACTCCTTGAAATCTTTTGGTCTTTAAAACTCCAGTAAATCTCTTGAACCAAAGTCTGTTCAGCTCTGCTTTATACGAACAAAGTTATTGTCTATTCACCAGAGAATTTTCTTGAACAGTTTGTTCATATAATAATTTTTTTGTTGCTGTTTCTGCTGTAGCATTTCAATATATTGATGATACATCACAATTGCGAGTAAAAATATAATTTAGTTTTTTTTTTTCTCTCCTCTACTTCAACTATATGATCTTGATGACCCATCACGACTCCTTTTTTGTGTGTGCTGTATCTTCTTTGGCTGCTTACATTCATTCACTTGAATAAAAGTAATGAAACAAGAAACTCTACTGGGTATATTTTTTTCCCTTTCAGCTTTTTCTTCCAATTTTTTTGCCTAACAAGTCGGTATTTTCTTTATGGCGTTTTTTCTTTTGTTGCTTGACTTTTTTTTGCGCATTATATTGTATCGTCCTCAAGAGGGCAGTTTTCTTCTGTTTGAGTTTCATTTTTTCTCTGCTATTAGTTTGTTGTCTTCGTTTGTGGTTTTTGAAGTATTTATAGAATAGTTTGGCTTCTTTCTTGACTATTTATTGCAATTTCATGTTTATCTTTAAGTTGTATGTTTGAGGGTTTTTATGGTTTTGGTTTCTTATTTACTTCTTAAGATTGCCCTACAAATGTAAGGTGTGGTCTGAAGTGTTGTAAGTATGAGATGTTGATTGTAACAGGGAAGTTTTAGCGCAAAAAGGATCTAAATAAACAGGGATAATGTGTATCTATAGAGAGACCTTTACCATAACGCTTTGGCTAGATTCCGCACCACAGCTTTATGAACCGATCGAAACAAATCGTAGTCGCATGGGACAGGATCTGAACTATAATGTAAGTGACGCAAAAGTTCCCATACACTTCCTTTTAAACAGTTTTTAGGAGGTATTGCAGCATGTATGTCCTTGTCATATTTTGAACGCTGTTCTATCAAAGCATAGCGTTCTACCAACTTCGCCTTAAACTCTTATCTTTCTCATTACTATTCCGCCTTAGTTGCTGCCACATACAAATAGTATAAAAACTTAAACTTCAATATCTTTAATGATTATTTTGCTATTGGCAATAACAATTATTACCACAACTGTCTTCATAGGGAGTGTTATGGACGTTTGTTTTCTTTATCCTATCAAGGAGTTATTCAAGCAATTCTAGTTCGTTCGTTTTTTTTTTCTCTTTTTCATAATTTCATTTCTAGCAGATGCTTTTATTGATGATTTGACCACAAATGAATTATTATCGTCATCATTATTATGCTGATGATTTTGCATTGTGAGGAAATAATAAAAAGAAATACCTAAACATATTGTTTAAAAATAGTTTTTTTTTCGAAAACCTTCTCACAATTAAATTATTACCCAAAGCACAGTTGTGTTTATTTGCAGAAAAAAAAGGAAAACTATGCAATTTTCTCATAATTACTGGTTTAATGGTTTTGTGCAGTAAAATTATGTTTATCATGAAATGTGCAAATAACAAAGAGATATTTTTTTTTGGAAAAGAAAAATACATTTTTTTCAAATACCTTTTAGAAAGTCTTAAACGTGACAATAGCAAAATAATAATTTTCTCTAAAATAACATTTTCATACAATTTTTAAATTAATTTTTAAACAAGTTTAATATTTAAAATAATAACATCTAAAACGGTGCTCCTTTCATTTTTTAATAGAAATATTATGTGCTGATTTGTTATAAAGATAAGTATCTATTATATGTATAACTATTTTATAAACTTAATTTGAACTACATCTTTATTGTATTTACATAAATGTATAAATAAGTCTAAAGAGGTCATTCCATAGAAATAAATTTTAATTAAAAATTTATCGCTCATTACTACAGTTCTAGTTCAGTTCTAGTTCAGTTCTAGTTCAGTTCTAGTTCAGTTCTAGTTCAGTTCTAGTTCAGTTCTAGTTCAGTTCTAGTTCAGTTCAGTTCTAGTTCAGTTCAGTTCTAGTTCAGTTCTAGTTCAGTTCTAGTTCAGTTCTAGTTCAGTTCTAGTTCAGTTCTAGTTCAGTTCTAGTTCAGTTCTAGTTCAGTTCTAGTTCAGTCTAGTTCAGTTCTAGTTCAGTTCTAGTTCAGTTCTAGTTCAGTTCTAGTTCAGTTCTAGTTCAGTTCTAGTTCAGTTCTAGTTCAGTTCTAGTTCAGTTCTAGTTCAGTTCTAGTTCAGTTCTAGTTCAGTTCTAGTTCAGTTCTAGTTCAGTTCTAGTTCAGTTCTAGTTCAGTTCTAGTTCAGTTCTAGTTCAGTTCTAGTTCAGTTCTAGTTCAGTTCTAGTTCAGTTCTAGTTCAGTTCTAGTTCAGTTCTAGTTCAGTTCTAGTTCAGTTCTAGTTCAGTTCTAGTTCAGTTCTAGTTCAGTTCTAGTTCAGTTCTAGTTCAGTTCTAGTTCAGTTCTAGTTCAGTTCTAGTTCAGTTCTAGTTCAGTTCTAGTTCAGTTCTAGTTCAGTTCTAGTTCAGTTCTAGTTCAGTTCTAGTTCAGTTCTAGTTCAGTTCTAGTTCAGTTCTAGTTCAGTTCTAGTTCAGTTCTAGTTCAGTTCTAGTTCAGTTCTAGTTCAGTTCTAGTTCAGTTCTAGTTCAGTTCTAGTTCAGTTTCTAGTTCAGTTCTAGTTCAGTTCTAGTTCAGTTCTAGTTCAGTTCTAGTTCAGTTCTAGTTCAGTTCTAGTTCAGTTCTAGTTCAGTTCTAGTTCAGTTCTAGGTCAGTTCTAGTTCAGTTCTAGTTCAGTTCTAGTTCAGTTCTAGTTCAGTTCTAGTTCAGTTCTAGTTCAGTTCTAGTTCAGTTCTAGTTCAGTTCTAGTTCAGTTCTCTAGTTCAGTTCTAGTTCAGTTCTAGTTCAGTTCTAGTTCAGTTCTAGTTCAGTTCTAGTTCAGTTCTAGTTCAGTTCTAGTTCAGTTCTAGTTCAGTTCTAGTTCAGTTCTAGTTCAGTTCTAGTTCAGTTCTAGTTCAGTTCTAGTTCAGTTCTAGCTCAGTTCTAGTTCAGTTCTAGTTCAGTTCTAGTTCAGTTCTAGTTCAGTTCTAGTTCAGTTCTAGTTCAGTTCTAGTTCAGTTCTAGTTCAGTTCTAGTTCAGTTCTAGTTCAGTGCTAGTTCGGTTCTAACAGTATCCGATTCTTTGAATTTATATTACAGAATGTTTCTTGATAAAAGCTTAAAATTTAAATGGCTAACATGGTGATTTTCGGAAGAGTGTCTTGTAAACTGGGTTTCATTAGGAATAGAAGTAAGGTTTAAGTTGGTTCCCCAATTCGAAGAGGTTCTTGTCAATTGGGTTTCATTAGCAATATAAATTAGGTTTAAGTTCTTTTCGCAATTATTTCACAATCTTTTCATGTCACTTGATAATAGAAATATTAATTTTTTTAAGGAGGTTTGAAATGATTTTAGTATCAAAATTAGGAGAGCCTCAGGCTAACACCGAACTTACTGATATATGTATTGCTCGATTTCTGAGTCAATCATAGAAATTTCGTTTAATCGTGGAAACAATTTCAATATTTAAATGATTTCGTTTTGCATAAATAATTGAATCGATTGCATTTTCATTAGAATTCGATTTAGTTAGATGGATCAGTAACAATACGTTCTGATTGTTGGTTTTAAAAATTTTCTATAAATACGAAATTTTTAATGACTTACCTGCTGTCGGAATTCTATGGAATTATCTGAAAAGAGAAATTAGAAAATTGTAATGACTATAATAAATATTATCTGATTTAAATAAGATTATTAATCAAATTTGATTTATACAACATCTGGAAGAAACTCCCTCGATTTAGTAAAAATAACTTTTAATTTGTTGCGCCTCCCCTATACTATGGAAAGCAGCATACTGTCAACAGCAACAATAAAATGCAAATAAAATTATACCTTTATAACTAACATTTATAGCTGTGCTCCCGTAATAAATACTTTCCCTATAAAAACTTTCAACCCTGAAACAAAAATCATTTACATTTGTTAACGCTCAATTAAAGCATGAAGATTTCAAAGTATTGCTGCTTCCTTTTGTTACTCATACAGACGGCAATTCTTGTAACTTGCACGACTGCCGCAGCAACACACGAATTTGAACATCAGGGAAATTTAATCAAAATTATAAATGAAATCTACTACGGCATCAATGCCACAACTTTGGTAATTTTTAATTATGAAACAAAAGAAAATGAATTGTGGTTTTCAGCAGAAATAGAAACCGTAGAGAAATTAAATTTATGGCAGGAATTAGAGCAACCAAAACTTTTGCTTGAAAAAGATTTTCAACTGGAATTAAGGCACAATCTTAATTCCGAAGTTTTAGCAGTGGTGGTGATGAAACAGGAATATTTAAATGAAAGGAACTGGCAACATTTTAGTAAAATCTTGGAACACTGGAGGAAAACGGATGTATTGTTCGTAAAAGATTTTGAAGATGAGGATGAGGAAGAAATGTATAATTTCTTTACCAATACCTGGAAAGAGGGATTCCTGAATGTCTTGCTATGTAACTTTAAAGGTGAACAGACAGAGTTGTTTACATTTACACCATTTCCCATGATCAAAATGGAAACAATTTCTATAGCTGGCTATTTGAATAGACATAAAAATGTGCCGAATGGTCTGGGCTATACCATTCGCAGCAGTGCCGGCAATAATCCACCACGTGCTTTTGTTTATTACAATGAGGGCTTTAAATTGGAATGTAAAGGTTTGGGTCCTCAATTAATTAAGATATTCGCCCAACGCTATAACTTTTCTATAGATTGGGTACTAATGCCGAATTTTGAATCGGTGGGTATGATAGATTGTCTCAAATATCTGCTCACAGATACTGTGGATACCTGCAGTGAGTTGTTGCCGCTAAACGAGCCATCATATGCCATTGCCACTCCCGTCTATATTATCTATGGTTACGTGTTGGTGCCATTTGCTCCTCACTTACCCAAATCGAAATATTTACTACATCCGTTTCAAAAAGAAATTTGGTGGTTAATGCTTTTGGGCGTATTGCTGCTGACAATAGTGATGAGCCTGATCAATCGTTTCAAACTAGGCTGGTGGCATATAACTTTGCAGTTTATGCGCTCTATGGAATTTTTGCTATACATAGGACCACAACTGCCTCATTCTTGGGGTCTGCAGAAATATTTAATATTTTTCATTTTTATACCCTGCGCCTTTATTATCTCCAACTTATACATGACATTTCTCACCAGTATTTTAACCTCAAATGTTTTTGAGACACAAATAAATTCTCTAGAGGATTTGAAACAGCGCGGTGTCACCGTTCTAATTACAGAATCGGATATGGAAATTTTGAGCATGTACAATTCATTTGAACCCATTTCGGATAATTATCTCAAGATAGATGTCTCTTCTTATGCGGATTTGCGTAACTCTCTAAACAATAAATTTGCCTATGTCAATTTCGAGGATAAAGCTACATTTTATTTATATCAACAGAAATTTCTTCAAAGACCACGCCTTAGGAAAATGCCAAAACCTTTGTCTGCCTTGTGGGCCAATATACCGATGCCCCATAATTGGCCATTTTTGGATTTGTTTAATCAATACATGTTGTACATGTTTGATTCGGGTTTAATACCTCATTTATTGGAACAGTCAAAGGAGGAAGGTATTCGTATGGGTTATATACGTTTTTTGAAAACAGAATATTATGATGTGGAACCTTTGAATGTGGACTATTTTAAAATGCCCACCATTTTATTGGTCGTTGGGTATTTAAGTGCTTTTGTGTGTTTTATTGTTGAAAATTTGGTTTATTTGGTGGAGAAAATAAAGAAAATGAATAAATTTTTTAAGTAAATATAATAAATCAGATACCTTTTTTTGTTCACTTAGAGGGGTCTTCACATTCGGTGCCCTGTCATGGTCTATAGTATAGTATATAGTCTAGTCTATATAGCCTTTTTTCAGTGCCCTGTCATGGTCTACAGTCTAGATTATAGTTAGTCTATAGTCTAGTCTATAGTCTAGTCTATAGTCTAGTCTATAGTCTAGTCTATAGTCTAGTCTATAGTCTAGTCTATAGTCTAGTCTATAGTCTAGTCTATAGTCTAGTCTATAGTCTAGTCTATAGTCTAGTCTATAGTCTAGTCTATAGTCTAGTCTATAGTCTAGTCTATAGTCTAGTCTATAGTCTCTATAGTCTAGTCTATAGTCTAGTCTATAGTCTAGTCTATAGTCTAGTCTATAGTCTAGTCTATAGTCTAGTCTATAGTCTAGTCTATAGTCTAGTCTATAGTCTAGTCTATAGTCTAGTCTATAGTCTAGTCTATAGTCTAGTCTATAGTCTAGTCTATAGTCTAGTCTATAGTCTAGTCTATAGTCTAGTCTATAGTCTAGTCTATCTATAGTCTAGTCTATAGTCTAGTCTATAGTCTAGTCGTAGTCTAGTCTATAGTCTAGTCTATAGTCTAGTCTATAGTCTAGTCTATAGTCTAGTCTATAGTCTAGTCTATAGTCTAGTCTATAGTCTAGTCTATAGTCTAGTCTATAGTCCTAGTCCTATAGTCTAGTCTATAGTCTAGTCTATAGTCTAGTCTATAGTCTAGTCTATAGTCTAGTCTATAGTCTAGTCTATAGTCTAGGTCTATAGTCCTAGTCTATAGTCCTAAGTCTATAGTCTAGTCTATAGTCTAGTCTATAGTCTAGTCTATAGTCTAGTCTATAGTCTAGTCTATAGTCTAGTCTATAGTCTAGTCTAAGTCTAGTCTATAGTCTAGTCTATAGTCTAAGTCTATAGTCTAGTCTATAGTCTAGTCTATAGTCCTAGTCTATAGTCTAGTCTATAGTCTAGTCTATATCTAGTCTATAGTCTAGTCTATAGTCTAGCTATAGTTAGTCTATAGTCTAGTCTATATAGTCTAGTCTATAGTCTAGTCTATAGTCCTAGTCTTAGTCTAGTCTATAGTCAGTCATAGTCTAGTCTATAGTCTAGTCTATAGTCTAGTCTATAGTCTAGTCTATAGTCTCTAGTCTATAGTCTAGTCTATAGTCTAGTCTATAGTCTAGTCTATAGTCTAGTCTATAGTCTAGTCTATAGTCTAGTCTATAGTCTAGTCTATATTCTAGTCTATAGTCTAGTCTATAGTCTAGTCTATAGTCTAGTCTATAGTCTAGTCTATAGTCTAGTCTATAGTCTAGTCTATAGTCTAGTCTATAGTCTAGTCTATAGTCTAGTCTATAGTCTAGTCTATAGTCTAGTCTATAGTCTAGTCTATAGTCTAGTCTATAGTCTAGTCTATAGTCTAGTCTATAGTCTAGTCTATAGTCTAGTCTAGTCTATAGTCTAGTCTAGTCTATAGTCTAGTCTATAGTCTAGTCTATAGTCTAGTCTAGTCTATAGTCTAGTCTAGTCTATAGTCTAGTCTAGTCTAGTCTAGTCTAGTCTAGTCTAGTCTAGTCTAGTCTAGTCTATAGTCTAGTCTAGTCTAGTCTATAGTCTAGTCTATAGTCTAGTCTAGTCTATAGTCTAGTCTAGTCTATAGTCTAGTCTAGTCTATAGTCTAGTCTATAGTTAGTCTAGTCTAGTCTAGTTATAGTCTAGTCTCTAGTCTAGTCTAGTCTATAGTCTAGTCTAGTCTATAGTCTAGTCTAGTCTATAGTCTAGTCTAGTCTATAGTCTAGTCTATAGTCTAGTCTATAGTCTAGTCTATAGTCTAGTCTATAGTCTAGTCTATAGTCTAGTCTATAGTCTAGTCTATAGTCTAGTCTATAGTCTAGTCTATAGTCTAGTCTATAGTCTAGTCTATAGTCTAGTCTATAGTCTAGTCTATAGTCTAGTCTATAGTCTAGTCTATAGTCTAGTCTATAGTCTAGTCTATAGTCTAGTCTATAGTCTAGTCTATAGTCTAGTCTATAGTCTAGTCTATAGTCTAGTCTATAGTCTAGTCTATAGTCTAGTCTATAGTCTAGTCTATAGTCTAGTCTAGTCTATAGTCTAGTCTAGTCTATAGTCTAGTCTATAGTATAGTCTAGTCTAGTCAGTCTAGTCTAGTCTAGTCTATAGTCTAGTCTAGTCTATGTCTAGTCTAGTCTATAGTCTAGTCTAGTCTAGTCTATAGTCTGTCTTAGTCTAGTCTATAGTTAGTCTATAGTCTAGTCTATAGTCTAGTCATAGTCTAGTCTATAGTCTAGTCTATAGTCTAGTCTATAGTAGTCTATAGTCTAGTCTATAGTTAGTCTATAGTCTAGTCTATAGTCTAGTCTATAGTCTAGTCTATAGTCTAGTCTATAGTCTAGTCTATAGTCTAGTCTATAGTCTAGTCTATAGTCTAGTCTCTAGTCTAGTCCTATAGTCTAGTATATAGTCTAGTCTATAGTCTAGTCTATAGTCTAGTCTATAGTTTAGTCTATAGTCTAGTCTATAGTCTAGTCTAGTCTAGTCTATAGTCTAGTCTATAGTCTAGTCTATCGTCAGTCTTATAGTCTAGTCTATAGTCTAGTCATAGTCTAGTCTATAGTCTGTCTATAGTCTAGTCTATTCTAGGTCTATAGTCTAGGCTATAGTCTAGTCTATAGTCTAGTCTATAGTCTAGTCTCTATAGTCTAGTCTATAGTCTAGTCTATAGTCTAGTCTATAGTCTAGTCTATAGTCTAGTCTATAGTCTAGTCTATAGTCTAGTCTATAGTCTAGTTTATAGTCTAGTCTATAGTCTAGTCTATAGTCTAGTCTATAGTGTAGTCTATAGTCTAGTCTATAGTCTAGTCTATAGTCTAGTCTATAGTCTAGTCTATAGTCTAGTCTATAGTCTAGTCTATAGTCTAGTCTATAGTCTAGTCTATAGTCTAGTCTATAGTCTAGTCTATAGTCTAGTCTATAGTCTAGTCTATAGTCTAGTCTATAGTCTAGTCTATAGTCTAGTCTATAGTCTAGTCTATAGTCTAGTCTATAGTCTAGTCCATAGTCTAGTCTATAGTCTAGTCTATAGTCTAGTCTATAGTCTAGTCTATAGTCTAGTCTATAGTCTAGTCTATAGTCTAGTCTATAGTTTAGTCTATACTCTAGTCTATATTTTAGTCAATAGTCTTGTTTTTAGCCTTGTCTATATTCCAGTCAATAGTCCAGTCTATAGACTATAGACTATAGTAAACTTTCGTATTAATTTCATCTACTAAACCGAAAACACATCAACATTATTTGGAACATTAAATTTTCCGTGACCATCTTGTTTTCATTAAGCTATAAATAGTTGCTTCAAAGGAAATAAAACATAAACACATGTTAATAAAAAAGCATTAAATAAATAACTTTATGGAAAAAAGGTTGGACATTTTTTTACTCCTCTTCTAAAAAAAATAAAATAAAAATAATCTAAAAAGCCGCGAGTTTTTCTAAAAGACAGCTGATGCCACATAAAAATAAAATCCCACCATTTACGGGCAACTGTTACTTTAAAGGTAAAAGGAGAAACTTTAATAGAAGACAAAAAAACAAAAAGATATTATATCCAAAATTACTGCACACATCTGATATATGGGATATAAAATACAATAATACTATTGTAGCAGCTAATGTTTTAAGAAAAGGGCTTTTGCTAAAAACACAAAAATAACCATAAAACAATTCTAAAGCCATAAAAACCAAACTAAACAAGAAATAAACCTAAAGAAAATATTAAAATACAAATAACGATTTTATGTGAAAAACATATTTTGCCAGAGTGTAGATACATATGTATTTATACTAAATACTTTGTTTAGTGACCAAAAAATATGTAAAATTTTTAAAATACAATCTCTAATAGACACTTTTTTATAGCCATGTTGGTGGTATTGTTGGCTTAAAATTAAGGTACCTGCATGTTTAAATCATATTTACCCAAGAAAAAAAAATACTACAACATGTAGAAATGTGCAAAATATTATATGGAAAATATTTACTTAACATTTATTACCTTTTAAAACATAATGAAAATGTATGTAGCATTGTAGTAATAGCAACAACTTAAAGAATTTGCTTAAAGGTTGAAACCTTTTTAAGTTTACATGAACCCAGCAATACTGAAATCTTGAATAATGAGCATAACATGCACTCATGTCCAAGTTATTTAATCTTGAAATTTAAAACTAAACCTTGGGTTTTTGGTAGCACCCATTTTTTTTACTTAGTTGCTTTTTTTCTTCTTTAAAACAAATCATGTTAAACAACCATTGTGCAGCAGGGCTCAAGTACACTTAATACTTTTGTAGTTGGTATTAAAAGAAAAATCCTTTTGTAGTTTTTGGTTTATTTACAAGGGACAATAAGTATTTATAAAATTTGGTGGATATAAGCACTAACTTTAAATAGCAATGCACTGTGGGAAAAATATCGATAGATCTAGATGTTTGGCTTTTTATCAAGACCTAAACCATGACTGGAAAATGGCCTTATACTATAGACTAGACTAGACTAGACTATAGACTAGACTATAGACTAGACTATAGACTAGACTATAGACTAGACTATAGACTAGACTATAGACTAGACTATAGACTAGACATAGACTAGACTATAGACTAGACTATAGACTAGACTATAGACTAGACTATAGACTAGACTATAGACTAGACTATAGACTAGACTATAGACTAGACTATAGACTAGACTATAGACTAGACTATAGACTAGACTATAGACTAGACTATAGACTAGACTATAGACTAGACTATAGACTAGACTATAGACTAGACTATAGACTAGACTATAGACTAGACTATAGACTAGACTATAGACTAGACTATAGACTAGACTATAGACT